CACTTTTTGGACAAACTTTCAGCGTCACAGCGACGTTGCCACTCTAAAGGTTAAACGTTATTCTCTTTGCAGGTTTATAGAATAAAAGAAACTGATTCCCAAAGCTTTCAGTATTGCCTAATGTTATTTATATTATGCAATAGTGTCGCTTGATATTATTATTCATTGGATGAAATGTTGGGAGGATTCGATCATTCTTTACTCGCTACAGATATTAGTAATTTTCTGTCAGTTCACCGGATTCAAGGAAGTCTTTTATTTTCTTGAAATGTGGCGAAGTATAAATTATAAATGTACGCAGCATAATTGCAGCTGATTAAATGATTTTGAGATTGAGCGTAGATAAATTGCCTCGCGGCATGATATCGTCGCCGCGCGGTCATTGCAAAGGAAATCTAATGGTAAATTACGAACGATGGATCTGTTTGTCATCCATCAACCGTATAATAGAATTGTTAACGTGGAACTGTTAATTCTTGTGTCGACAGATCGACAATAACCGACACCATTCGTCCCCTAACTTGATACAGTTGCCTGATATTAATTTAGAAGCTGACAGTTCGAACAGACGTGTCCCGCGCCTGCTTAATTTTGCACTAATAATCTCAGGAGAATCTAATTGCAAAATCTGCATAGCTATCCATGACAGATGTTCAAGGAATACGTTAAAGAACGCTTGTTTGTTCCCGGAGGAACTGCAAATAAAAGACAACATTTTGAGCGGCAAGGATAATTACGCGTTTTAATTCTGAAGTTCCATGAAATGTTGAGAAAAATATTTTAATTAAAAACTCGTTGTTATCTCGCTATAATCCAATGCAGATTAACGTTGAGACAGAAACGCTGAATGATTAATTGGGTCGAGCAAAAATTTAATAGAAAGCGTACTTACTTATGTTAGATGAAACAATGTGATAGTGTTAATATGATAATATGATAATAGGATATGCTGTTCTTGATATGATATAATAATATGATAACGCGATATTATATATACCATACAACGTAATACGATAGCACGGTAATCTGAAAATATAAAATGTTAAAAACTAAAAATAAAAGATGACCCAACTGATAAAAAACAAAGAGCTACCGAGCATTTAATACGATTAACATGTAATCCCCGTAAAAATTGTAACAATACATTATTTCAAGTTTCTTCAGAGACTCATTATAGTATTCAGATGGAACTATTTATTTTCAAGATCATTTCAAATATTTAATGCTTTTAAGATATCAAAAATTGCGAGAGAAACAAATTGGAACCATTTTGATTGATACAGTAATTCTAGTGTTAAAAAGAAAATATTAGACATGCAGTAAAATAAAATTTAAGTAAAATAGTTTCACGTCTGGAATTACTTTCTTCGTGCTCGTAAATCGCAATAAAAAATGGGAAAAAATACGACGAATTATGTTCACGTAGCACAACCGCTAATTACGGCTCTGTTGGTAACAGATGACTTCGAAAAAACAGATTTGGCTGACTGCTCTTGACAAGGATATCGTTTATCAAGCTGCGTAAGAGGATCTCCAGGCATTCCGGGAAGCCACTGAATTTATTCCACTCAGAATAAAGACGCGATTAATATTAACAGCCCAAAATTATTTATCATATACACTTTATAATAGTTCCTTACACTATGTGATACCTTTCTCCACCAGTAAAAGTCAAATAGAAAAATATTTATCTTATATTTCACGTTGCACAACGATTTAGAGGAAGTCTCAATGGAATAAAGGGAAGATTAAAATTAACAGCCAAAAATTATTTATCATATACACATTATAATAGTTTATTATACTATCTAATACTATCTTTGATCAGTTAAAATCAAAGAGAGAAGTATTTGTCTTATATTTCACGTTGCACAACGATTTAGAGGGAGTCCCGATAGTTCACCGCAAAATAAGCGAGAAACATCAATCGAGTAGAGCTCCCAGGGCATTCCTTCGAGAGGTGGGTTTTAAAAGTTGCTTCGTGCTATCCCCGAAAGGATACGCTACTCTTACAACAATAAAAACACAACATTAACCCAGAAAACTCGGAGAACACTATTTTCGACTTGCGTTTTGTATATTGTGCACCTGTTAAATGGAAACAGACATCCGGTATGCAGAAACTGGAAATGTTTGAGGGCAACGTTAAATGAACGATTTCTACGGTGAAAAATATTTAAATCACATTCCAGTGGATGTTTCGAAACACGCATCGCAATGTGGTTGATATAATGTTTCGGTGGAAAGTTAATCCTCTCAAATGCGGACGCTGCTGTAGGAAGCAATTAAATGTTTCCGAATAATAAAGCGACAGTTTTACGTGCATAGTAATAGGAAGATGTAAAAGAGATGCCCGTGGAACATATAACAGCGGAGATCTTGTCGAAAGAAAAATGTCAAGTATTTTTTTAGGTTACGCTACAGAGGATTAAAGCGTTTTTAATATTTGAAACGGAAGTGGATTTCATTTCATTTTCATACTCCGCATTTCGCAAGTGAAACGAGCTAACTGCGCCAGTATTAATACTTTCATTACATGACTAGTTCTCTTTCATTCTGCTTCTTCGGTTCTTATCGGAACATTGTTTATTAAGAAGACGCGTCTTCTTTGTTTCTCGAATTATCTTCTTCGGTATTGTGGACATTTAATCTCGCCGATTAAAACGTCTTGCAACAGGTAGTAACACATTTACACGAGTGTCTTCGATTCGTTTGAAATTCACTCGTGTTTGACACATATTGTCTTTGATCATCAGCTTTCGTAAATTAACAGAAGAACGGTTACGTTCGTTGAATTCTTTATCATATATGTTTACAATATTACACAGTAAATATATTTCAACAGTTTCTGTACTCCTCTACATATCACTGTACCGTTTATTAACCCTTTGAACACTTACCGGTTATTAAACAGACTATTGAAGGTTAATTATCAATGTTTAAAGATTTCTTAATGAAATCTTCAATACCAATGGTAATTACAACGTTGAATCAGCAAATTGTATTATGTAACACAATGTAAATATTATTGGAAGATTATTGCTTCAAGATTATTAGTCAGTTGTTTGACATAATTATAAGTCATGGGAGATGCCTATTAACCCTTTGAACTCTGTAGGCTCCAATATTGCACCAGGAATAATATTAAACATTTTAATGAATCTTAAAGAAACTACCCTAAAATCATTAAATTTTCCACACATCCGAATTTTGTACTAAGAAGGAAAATAAAAGATCTAAGAAATGTTATAGCATTTTTCATTTTTGCTAGGGATATAAAAATTAGTTGCAGTTGCTGATTACAAAACCATCCGGAGTGCTAAGGGTTAATTGTATCTTGATTTAAATTCATTCAATTTAACTGGTATTCCCTGGATCGAAATTGTCCGACTGTCCAAGTGACGAATAGAATCCTTGATTCAGATCATAGATATTTTAAATTCTCATTTTGTCATTTGAAGAGGATCGATCAATAAGTAAGCCTTCCCCACCCCCGGCTTCCGTTCTAAAAGAGATATTTAGTTACGGCAACTTGAGAACGTCGATGCAACGATGTTATCGGTATATACTAAATTTTCAATCATTTGTATCTGTCATACGTCTACGAATTTGATATATTCACCGTCGTGTTTGCAGATACTCGTTAACTATGAAAAGAATATTACAAGAATGTTTATCGACTCAGTGGATAATTAATAGACAATAGAAAATTAAGATATCTCATGTTCATTAATTTTTAATTAGGGCGTGGCTAAAGTTACTCATTGACCGACACATTTGATTCTTAACACAAAGCGAACTTAACAAAGACCACGATATTGTAGTCAACCAAGAAGCTTATAAATATTCACTGCTGAGAATGAATAAAACGAACGTTACACGTTTTCCAATCCCATTCCGAGCTGTCGCGAAATGATCTCATTAAAAAAAGAGAAGGCACTGATTAAGGTAAGTCCGGGATTGTTTGATCACGTTTTTATCAAGCTTCGAGCGTATCGAAATTATTCTCACGACTTAATATCTATCGGTTTTTCGATAGTTTCGATTTGAGATATATGAGAGGTACGAGAACAAGCTTTCGTCAAATGTTCCTGGATTGATTATTAATATTATTAATAACATTATGATACCAGCGTTTAATCAATCCGAGAACACTCTATAAAAGCCAGTCTTCCTCGCGAGTTCAAAAATAGTTAAAATAAGATCATTATACTCCGAAGATTCTTTTTCTTTCCAAAAAACTTTAATAATTCGGAACAGCCGTCACATTAAAAATCGTTAATCATTCTATCGAAAACATTATTTCCTCCTGATCGAAAAACGAAGAGAACTCTTGCGGACCTAATACATCGGACAACTCGATTGCTCGGCAGTTTCCATGTTAACACATTGCTGACTGGTCACGAGTCAACTCGTGTTTCTATGACCAAACATTGTTTAACTCGTGTTTGCACTTGTATTAGATATGTCAATTTTTGAAACGTAAAGCAATATAAAATATTGCAAACGCAAAATATCAAAAGCTGTATGAAAGATACATCTGAAGTTTCATTTCAATTCATTCTATATAAAGTATACTGAAATTTATTTAGATTGTTTCACTTTCATATTTAATTACGGAATAGCAATCAGTGACATAGGATAGCTTCTAAAATTGCCGGTCAACAATGTGTTAACACTAAAACTACCGAGCATTTCATACGATTGATATGTAATTCCTATAAAAATTGCAATAATAGATTCTTCTCAGTTTCTTCAGACATTCATTGTAGTATTCAAATGAAACTATTTATTTTCAGAATCATTTCGAATATACGATGCTTTAAAGTATCAATAACTTTGAAACCAAGAAACCAAAACCAATCATTCTGTTTGGTAATTCTAGTGTCAACGCTTCGATCGCCACGCCTGTCAGCAATGCGTTAAAAGACGAACGAATTCCGGTCTGCGGCACCGATCAGACTATCTCGGACTTACTGTATAGGGGAAAATCTACTTACGTGGTGACCCTCTGAGGTTCCTCGATATCAATGTCAATTTCGTCACTGGTGGCCTCCGTGACGGAGCTCGTCTGCGAGGTGAAGAGGCTTCCCCTGCCAACCGGAAATACGCTACTCACACTACCAGACTCAAGAACTAGTTCCCTCCGACGTTCAAAGCCGCTCTAGAGAAAGTGCCCTTCAGCCGGCTGACGTTTCCTGTCAGCCCAAGTTTCCCGGCCGACTATTATTTCGCGGTCGAAATTTCCAGAGGTTTTCCAAACACCGGCTCTCACGCGTATCCCACACGTGCCTGGTGTCCCACTTTCGCGGAGGAACCGCCTAAAGGAACCGACGGCGCCGCGGTCGCGGGTCCCCCGTCAATTCCCCCGGTAATTGACGAATTTAACGAGGATCTGGTTAACGCGACATCGCCGCGCCGTGACACGATTATCCCGGCAATAGCAGTTCCCGTATCCTCGAGAGTTTTACTGACAAAGAGAGGATCGGACGGAAAAATCTGCTTTCGATTGGAACTCTGTGCGTGGTGTGGTATATATCTAGGAACGAGACGCCTTCGTGGCTTCTCGGTGGAAGAGAGAAATGAATTTTAACCCTTCGACATTTCGGCGAGAGGAAATTTGGTATTTGGAAGACTAAATCGCGAATAAATGATTTTATTACTCGAACAGCTAGAAATCAGCACTTATTTTCCTTTTTTTCTATTAATTAGGCAATTGATGTATAATTTAGTTTCATCTATTGAAGGTTTTGTACGTTTCAAAATATCTTCAACTACAAAGGGTTAACCCTAATCGGACCATGATGTGACTTTGAGTCACATTTGAAGTTTTTACTGATATTTTTTTATTATTTCATATTGCATTTTAAAAAGTGTTTTTGGGCTCTTACAATTTGGGCATTATAGAAAAAAACAATAATATTTTAATCATTCCTTTTATTCTCATAAGTGAATCAGAGTCACATCGTGGTATGATAGAAAATACACGTTATTTGGAGAGTACCATTCAAAGACAAAAAACGGAGGAACAGAATTCCAATGGAATAATAGAACGGAAGAACAGAAGTCCAGAATTTCCAGATTTTGAAATTTTCAAAATCGACAGTCGGCTGTTAAGGTTTTCTCTAGAGCGTTATAAAAAGATCGGACATCTAATCACGAACATGACAGAATTCTGTGAGTAGTAATCGGAAGTTATCGCTGACTGAAAAGTGCTTTCGTTTAAGCAGCTTTTCAATTGTTTTCGATAATCTGTAGAAATCATTCTGGTGAATTTTATACAGCTTGTAATCGCCTGCCTGTACCCACAAATTTCATTACAGGTCATGATCGATTACAAATATAAAGGTACGAACGAATGTTTGAATAAACAATTCGTTAACTCTGTTATTATTCGTTTAAGTTTCGTACTAGGATAACTGTTTATACACTTCTTTTGAAACGTGTATAACGAACGCAGTAACATGTAGTTTTATGAAACAGATTTTCAATGTTCATCGATACTTGAAATATCATAACCTAGAAATAATCTCCTAATTACCACTTTCACTTAGAAACTCGTTTTCACGCGAGCTGCGTGACAAGTCGCCTATCGTACGCGACTGTCACGTTCCACGAATTTCTGATTCTCATCGTTTCCTCGTCGAATTAGCAAAAATTTGGCAGTACACCTTCTGGCAAATAGTATTTAATCAAACGAATTAAACGTCCCTGGTAAGTAAATCTTCCGCATTCGTTACAGAAAATGTTCCCAACGGTAAAAACGGAAGCAGAATGAAAGACTCATTTGTATCTCAGTAAACTATTAATATAGAAGTAAATGTGTGTATTTATTTGCAGGAGAAAATATAAGAAAGTGAAGCAGTGAGTGGTGTTCAATCGTCCAGTGTCGTGAAAGAAAATAATCTAATGGCCCTTATCGTTTGTATACTTTCGGAACGGAAGATAATACGAAACTATACAAAGTAAACGCACGTTACGCCTACAAATCAAGTGTACAAGGACTTAACCAAAGGAGAACGGAAATAATAATTATAAATATACTTAAAACAACAATATTTACACATATTACCGAGTTTCGCTAATGAATTGCAGTTAAATGTACGTACACATACGTGCCATTGTCGTTGTAGAGATTAATCGTTTGACAAAAACACATCCCCCGGTTGGGAAACTCCGTTTCTAGCCAGAAATGAAACATCGATCGTTTGAAATGACGTGTTCGGGTTAACGTTGTCCGAATAAATGATCCTTTTATTAATCGTGTCAACGAATTTGATTGAATACTTTTTGCCAGGGATAAGTATAGTGCATGCACGTCCAACGTTTTGCTTGCGTGTGCTGTTTTCGGCGAGCGAAGAGCAAAGAGCGGCCGACAAGATGGCGGCCGCGTACTCCGAGAGCGAGAGTCACGTGGCGAGGTTCGCCGTTCATATTCCTCGGCAAACACGGATTAACCTGAGACCACGGAGCTCGGGTTCCCGCGGTGTACAGTCGATAAGGAGGAACACTGGCTTACGCGATTTCGAACGGTGATGGAGTTTGTTTTGAAAATATCCGTTCTTTTACATTCGATCAGGAACATCACGCGCGAGAATCACGTACAGCCGGCCGCGAGAGTCCACACGCGTCGTTACATTTCAAATATTTAGAAAAGAGACGAGAACTCGCGGTGTTTTACAAGCGACATCCGTTCGTTCGCGAAATTGATCGATAATAGAATCCTATTATCCGCGAAAACCGTGGAACTAATCTATTTACCCGCTTGAAATTTACATTCTAAGAGAATCTTAGAATTCCTTTCACAAATAAAATCTCACGCGACCTCTTCAAGTAACTTTCGCTCTCGACAATGCTCGTGATCCGTTTAATTGTAACATAAATCGGTTCACATTCAGTATTTCAGTTCTCTCAGCAATGAAACGCGTTAACACTTTACCGATCGGTCGCGATCGAGACTGCCACCTACTCTTTTCCTCTTTCAAGTAGAAGTGCAATGTTGTTTTCCATTCATCGGTTCTTCACTTTGCACTTCATTATTAGGGGCAGTGCAGCTTAACACTAGAACAACCGAGCATTTAACAGATTCTGCTATGTCGTATCCACGAATTACAGGACTTCGCACAATCCTCGAGCTCGGAAATAAGATCGAAATGAATGAAACTGCTATTTCCGTTATCACAAGTTTACATTCAACGCGTACAGCATCTCGAGTCTCGTTAAGCTGTCTATCCCACTTCTTCCCATCATATTCATTCTCCAACTTCAAACTGCTCCGTCCGCACTCCCCCTTCAGTTCAAAGCAGAACTGTTAGCCCTCCCCTTGCCCCTGTGCACTTTCAACTCGCCGACTACGACTACGAACAGACGCACCGTGCATCGCCGCGATATTCAGCTAATTTCGAACGGCGTACGTGTACGTTGCCAGTCTCGAATGCGTCGACGGTCGGTAAAGTGTCATGTGAAACGCTGTTGCTCGCGAGGAACCGAGTGAAACATGTCCAGAGGGTAACGGTAAAGGGGGTAAAAAGTAAAATCGACGTCCGACTCACCGGTTGTCGCGCCTGGCACGGTTCGGCGTGCCCGCTTTCGGCTCCTCCATGTAGAAGATAACGTCACCCTCGTTCTCCATCCGTTGATTGTCATTTTGGCCGGCGGCGTCGCCGATCGCGCCGCTGGACACGCCGCCGGATATCGTGACCGGCGGCAGCGACTGCTGCTGCTGCTGCTGCACGTCCATCCGGTTCCTCGACTTCCGCCTCTTCAGCACGCTCGCCTTCTTTGCCACCTGGATCATCAGAGACTGAACCCCCGGTGCCCTCCCATTACAACACACGTCGAACACAACATGCACTATCCCTACTAGCGAGCACCAGCTCGGCACCGAGTTAGGATCCATCTGAAAAGCTCCCCGCGCTGGCGACTCTATAGCCGACGGACACACCTTTCGCTTTCTTTTCTTTTCTTTTCTTTTATTTTCTTGTCGTCGAGAACTTAGAACTCGCGCTGCCGCGTCGTCCACCGCGTTTCTGAGATTCTGTTCGTTTGGATGTTCGCTTGTTTACTGAACCCAGAATTTTGCGTTTTTCTCCCGAACCTGCGGGTGGGTTTGATAACGGGTGTCGAGGAATGTTCGTTGCGGTGAATCGGTTTGGAGACTGGAGGAAGATGGGACTTGCTTGTTGCGAGGTGGAAGAAGTAATTCGTTTAGTATTTAAAAAATAAGAGAGTTTGGGTAAGTATTGTTTGTTAGTTTGAGATGCTGCAGTTGGAAGTTTTGTGTATTGCTGGCTGACTACATTTTGGTATAGTTGTGTTTCGAAGATATCGGTTTAGTGTGATGGTTTTTTATAAATGTTTGGAGGAATGCAAGAATGAATAAGGTTACAAGGAGCTTTTGTAACGAATTTATTGCGACGGAGAATTGTACTTATTTATCAGTAATCGATGAGATTCATAAGAATCTCGAGAAGTCATTGAGAATAAAAGTAACCAATGAATACTAAAGTGTCACACGATCTTAGGTGTCCAAACATTTTGTATTTCCACTAGACGTTTCAAAGTTTAATAATAGTTCATTTTCGAGTACTCTCCACAGAATTTACATATTATTTTTAAACGCCACGTGGTCACTCAGCGGCGAGCGAAACAAAGACACCGGAACTTGTGTTCCATAATTTTCTAAAATAATCCTCGAGATACTCGAACTCGCAAAGCGACGAGGAAAAGAAGAAAAAAAGCTGGAAGGGAATTTCTTTGTTTTGAGCGAGGAAGTAACAAAAGCCGGCGACGTTAACTTCGCTCTTTTCCCTGGGAATCGCTTTTTTTTCACGTGCACACGCAGTAACTATCTCTGATGTCTACGTCGAAAATGAAACGGGTTACCGTGCACGAAACGAGGAAAGTGGGTCAGCATCAGTTTTCAAACCCGTTCCCAAGCCTGCTAACATAAACTTCGCATTAACGTCATATTCTAGGATTACCGCATTAACGGCTGAAAGGAAGATATTAGACGAAAACGTGAAACGAATATAGACCGTAAATCCGGGGAATTCCCCATAACGAAACGACGTTTCCTATCGGCATAAAGAGCTTTTTCGCCCGATCTCTTATCGCCCGAGGCACGATCGGAGGCTCTGGATATTCGGTCCAATTGAAGCGCGATTGAATTTCGAGAGATTAGATTTCATGATGGCTGAGAAAAGAATTTAGTATGCGTGAAATTACGATTCCCGAAGTGGCTGGTCGGAGTTTATTCAAGTTCAAGCCAACTCTCCTTCCGCCGTGCGAGATTAATTCTTGGAAAGTAGCGAAAATAACCAGACTGCAAAAAGGATTTAATAAGAGAAATGGAATGTTAATTTTGAAAGTTTCTCGTTTTTTTCTACAATTTAAATGAATTATGTTTTATGCATTACGTTTGCTTTCGATAGAAAAAAGGATTGAATAGACGTAACGAGGTTTCATGATTGTTGAGCAATTTTGTAAAGTAATTGAGTTATTTGTAAAGATTATGATCGATAGATACGACACGCGAAAGTAAACAATTTCGCGGTTGCCGATGGTTTGTTATAAACCGAATGTTATTATTTCTAGATGCTCCATGGCCTGATATTTTGTATAATTAAATGCAATGAGGTTGATGTTATTAAACCCAGTTAATAATGTGCCACGGTCCTGATTATTTGAATATTTATATCACGCAATTTACACCTTTGAACTAGATCTATCTGCAAGTGTAACAGCTGTGAATTTCATATTAATGACTAATTAATCTTGAAACTAAAGAGGCCAGTCAAAAATCGACGAGTACATTCGCAGTTTGTAATCAAACATTATATTACTCGAGTGGTCGGATCAAATTACTCTAAATAAATTGATTAACACATTCCACTAGAGTACACAGAATTAAACGAAAACATTTGAACATTCTGCAGAGCCCAACAAGTTTCTAACTTCTAGTTACACAGTGTCCGAGCAGAAAATCTAACTTAAACACGTAACGTTATTGCGCCCTGCAATCCGAATTCAACAGTGATTCCCTCTAAAATCTAAGAAAAAAGCAGGAAAGGGAGAAACGCGAGGACGCTTCATCCGCAGGAAAATAAGAGGAAAAATTTAGGAACGCGGACGTGGACAGAGACGACTAAGAAAGGACGAAAATATCAGAATATTCCTTCCTCGGTACCATTTTACAGTAACTCTTCTCGCGAACGACAAGCATAGAAACAAATTAAATTGGACACGACGCCCACGTTCTCTAAAATGTCGGGACAAACATTCCGCAGAGCCCGGCAAGTTTCTAACTTTTAATTGCACAACGCCCAACAAGAAAATCTAACTTAAACACAGCCAATTCCATTACGTTCTACGATCTGAATTCAACGGCACTCTCCTCTAAAATCCAAGAAAAATCGGCGAAAGAGGAAAGCACGGAGCGGATAGAACCACAGAAAAATAAAGAATAGATTCAGGGACGCGAACGAAAGACGAAATCATGAAAATCATGGATCAAAACGTTAAAATACATCTTTCCTTACAATTTTACATCCACGTTCTCCAAGATTTCAAGCCAAACATTCCGCAGAACCGATAATCTTCGACCGCAGAGCAAGCTTCTAACTTTAACCGTACAGTTCCCAAGAAGAACATCCAACTCGAACAGCTGAATTCAACGGCAATATCGTCTGAACTCCAAGAGAAACGGTTTACGGGTGAAATCGTGGAAAGGGTAGAACCGCAGAAAAATCAAGACAAGCTTCGGGAACGCGAGCAAAAGGCGAGATCGTCGACGATCGATCGAAACGTTGGAATATTTCGTTCGTCGCAGTTCCCGGGTCCTCTGAAGTTTCAAGAAAACCGTCGACCGGTTCCGAATGGCGATCGCGACAGCCGTCGAGTTTAAATTCTCACGCCTCCCTTCTGCGAGTGCGACCGTCCGTTTGTTTGCTTGCGGTTCGATGCGAAAATAAAACAGCAACGCGTACATACACGTATACGCGTACACGAAGATCAGCGTCCGCACCACCGGGAGGGATGATTCCGGCGTCGCGCGCGTGTTTGCACGCGACTCAGCCCTCGCAGGCGCCGCGACACGGGCCTCGGGTTTTCGAAAGTCCGGTCTTGCCTCGGCAACGATTTTCTCCGTTGAAAGCGGCACGGATAAAAGAATACGGAATAAAGAGCGCCCCTTTGCTTGTGTTCCTGGGAGCAAAACCGGCTCGGATTCAGAGAGCGAAGAAATTCGTTTTTATGATCCTTCCGCCTTCCGGCTGTGAAATTATGCGCGCCGCCGCGTTGCGAATGAGATGTAAAAGTCGGATTCTATTTGCACGGCTCTCCGCGCCCCTTTTTCGGCGTGCCGGGGAAATTTTAATTAGCTTAAGCGTTGAAATATTGAAATAAGCAATGCCCGGCAGGTGGCTCGGAGAGACTCAATGTTGCGAGGCTCGTCGCGTTTAAGGGTTATTGCTGAACGGTCTGCTTGCGAGGAAGTAAGCAAGGAGAGCTTTCGGCGATTGGAATATCATTGTAATAGAATTTTGACAATGTAGTTGGTCATAGAAAGAATAATTGATTTGTAGATTGATGTCTAGTTGTAAATTTACGAATACTTTCCTCAACGTTTCGGTCGGAATCATCTCTCCCAGTGTTGTAACTCCGCTGTAGATATACGAGGTGTTAATGAAATTAAGAGGCAGTTGCTTCCGATACTAGTTTGTCAGAGGAAAACAAATAGAACAATAAATTGCGCCCAATTTCTGATCAGGGTTATCGAGTAAAGCAACAGAAAATACGTCGAGATTCCATTTTAGAATTTTTGTCTTTTGGTTAAAGGAATTCAAGCAAAAATATTCCAATCTTCTCTATCACCTGTTATTACTGACTCTAGAAGTGAACTGAACAATTGTAACAAATAATCGAAAGATCCATTATCTGCCCCTCTTACTCAGCTACATCCTTCAACGTGCATTGTTCGCAAACTCTATTTAAAACGTTCTTCATTATCACGTTCTACATTAATTACGCTAATACCCCCAGCATCCGCACGAAACTTTCTTCTACGCCGTTAGACAGTGTAATCGAGGCTCTCGTTTATCATTAACACCTGGTACTTGGTTGCAAGCAGCTCACCATACACGTAAGTACCGCGTACACAGACATGGCACATAGTAATCGAAGCGCATGCACGATGTAGAAACGGAAACGAAGAAAAACAGAAAACAAAAGGTATAAGTGTGGTGGCGTCACATTGCACGACAAATACTGAAAGATACCATCGAGCTGTAACGGTGACACTGAAGCTGAATGGTGCACTAAAGGAATAATAAATACAAACGTGTTCTATCTGTCGCGGATCGCAGGCAATCTCCGACTCGCGCCGTCGTAAATTCCCGAGTTCGAGGAGACGCGCGATTGTCCGGGGCCGAGTAAATCAACGCGAACGGTACGATCCCGGGCCCGATGCTAAAAAGCGTTGCATATTTCCACCCCGCCGCGCCCCGACCGGCACGGTAAACCGAGACGCCGTCATCTATCTCCCGCGGAATCGATTCCGAGCCCCCGCGTAAAAATCACGGGGTGAAAATGAAAAATCGCCGGCGGAACACGCTCGAATCAGTATCGACGAACCGTGAACCGTTCAAAGACAAGGTGAGTTTTGCCGGGACAACGTCCAATCAGATTTTAACCCTTCGTTTTCGATATTTTAGCGGAATAGCTCTTAATTCCGAATTCTTGGGGAAATGAACTTTTGCGATGTGTTCTTGGATTAATTAAGTATTAATATTGATGAACGATGGTAATTGATATTATCAGTTACACTGTCGTTGTGATATTAGTAGTTGATTAATGTAAGAACAGTTCACGAAAGCTGTTCCTTTTTCAAGAAGTCGGGAGTAGGAATTAGACTATTATTTTGTCACTCGTTTATCGTTCGATAGACGTCTCTTATAGAAATATCTCTATAGAAATCTTTTCTGTCGACTATCCTTGGATTCTAGAAGAATCAATTTTCACCCTTTGCGAGAAAATCGAAATTTGCAAGTAGATAATTGAATGATTGAAATAACGAGGGTCTGATGTGTGATATTCTACGTTTGATGCTTAAGGCACTGATGTATATTTCATTTTATCTATGGAAGTTTTTTAAAATGTAACAAACTTTTTTTCTGCAAAGACATTAATGTAGATTTTTAAACTTGGAAACGTCTTTTGCTTCAATAATTATAGTCAAGCATAAAATTATTCTGTGAATTCCCTCGAACAAGATTACACATTGTTACTATAACATTTAAACGACAATTTAGGGCGAAAGAGGTATTCAAGGTTCGTAAATTGTTGCTGATATTTTTAAATCTATTTGGAAATAATAAGAATTTAGAAAAATACGATAGGGCACACAATTTTACTATAGCGACAAGAGAGCCTACTGGTCAAGTTGAGCACCACTGTCGCGCCGCGTGTTTCGCTAAACTGTTTCGTTTCAGCAACCGAAACTAAACGTGAGCCTTGGTTTCCGTTGCAGCTTTCTGTCAGAAAATGATACCCATTTCATGTAGAGTAATCAAACTATTCTGTAAACTCACAATTTTCAAGATAAGTTAAAAAATATCAACCAAAGCTGTCGCGTTTCGTTCGACTTTCTCGCATTAGTCGCTGCTTAAACATATTTACCAGACAATCAAACATATTAATTATACTCCACAGAATAATTCTATGCAAAATGGCCCAACTACAAATATTAAACCACAAGACATTTTCAAACTAAAAAATTCGCATTTCATTCTTCCGAATTGATTCCTCGGGAAACCAGGATGCGACGAAGAGAAACGATTCGCAGATTGACATTCGGCGCACGAGGGTCCGCAAGAAACGGCTGTTGAACGAAGAAAAGTCGAAACCGAGCTCGATCGCGTCGCGCGCGGTGGTACGGATCGGCGTCAATTTGCGTGGCGGCTCGTAAACGTGTAAATAAAGGTAAACAGAAACGTGATAAAATTCGAAATAAATAAACATGCAAAAGAGTAAAAATTGAAATAAATCTAAGCCTTTACATACCATCTTCTTTACACAAATCAACTGAAATATATTAGGTACATTTTATAAATCGTCCAACACAAGGAACACTGATTGTATTTACACATGTAAGTCAGACGGAACAGAAACAGTGGGCGCAAACGTTTCGTAGAAAAAACGTGGCTCGTGAAGAAACAAGACCGAAAACGAAAAACGAGGAACAAGAAGAAGAAGAAGAAGAAGAAGAAGAAGAAGAAGGATGGGAAGCACGAAAATTTCGACATTTTTCATTCTCTTTTTTGGCAGCAGATGCGAGAGATGTGGATATCTCGAAATTTCGGATTTCGTGACCAGTGTGCCGAGAAATCTCATCGAAAATTTCGGTGTCCGATAATTTACGTTCGAATGAATTCCTCGCGTTGAACAGGACTTCGATCAATCCGGTTGTCGCGTGATTGGTCCGTTACGCGCACAGGCTACACACATTCCGTCCGATCGGAACCATCGAGTTTACTCATTTTTTCGTTGGCTTTCTCGGTAACGATCTCGAAGCGAGGAACATTCTCGACTTCAATTTCATCCGGCCGTGTAACTTGAACTTTCCGGAAGTTGCGTCCCGCGGTGAATCCGCTGCGACGAGCGTGATATGAGCATGAGGGCAGGACTAGTAAAACGAATGCACGTACAGCAACCTACACGCTTGCTAATGAACAGTTTTTACACGGAGCTCGAGAAGAATGGTAAAAAGCGGCAAACTAAATTGTGAACGGAATGCGATGGGATTTGTCCGCGGAGAATTTGAAAGGTTGACGACCCTTTCGTCGAGCATAAAATATAATTATTCGATAATAAATATTGTGCATTGAAATTTGGCAATATTTTTCTTCGATATTGATTGCTGATGTTTATTGGTATCTTTGGTATCATTGATCATTGACTTGTACAGTGATTCAGATTAACGTTTGAAGGTAGACACAGAAAGAAGCAATATTTCCTGTCTATTTAAATGATAATAATTACTTGTCTTCTTATTAAATGAATTTTGTGGCTTCATAAACGTTCGTTGCAAGACTCAAATTTTAAAATACAAGAAATTAATTCATAAACGTTGCTTTTGTGAATAATTTACGATTTCTGCTGTTAGTGGTTGATGGCAGAAACGATTCATTGGAAAATTGGGGATAAGATCTACGAGATTACATGGGCGCAAATGAGATGCAGAAATAATGAATAACGTATTTATTGCGACTAGCAACGTGATAAATATGACACGTTGTTGTTCAAGCTGTAAAAATATAAGAAAAGATGTAACATTCGATGTAACGACGCATACACTGAACGGTTAAATGCACAGCGTTCGGAAAGGATGGTGCGCCGGAGTTCGCGGAGTAACTGAATTATCCGTTGGTAATGCGTTAACAAATGAGATAAGTGAGAAATATAAACGAAATGAATTTCATGTAAAACGCGAGAAAGTTCAACGGGAAAGACTGAAAACGTAGCATGAACTTTTCTCGTGGTAATCTCAATTTTACTTTGACCAAGTAATTCGACACATTACGCCGCACAGTGACCGTTAAATTCGGTTTCAAGCGAGCATAAGCTCGTCGAATATTAAAAGTTCGAATTACATTTCTAAAACACAATTAAGGAACAAACGAAGAAAGCAATTTCAGTGCTGAATAACGTCTACGTCCTCGAACGTCGAGCACAATTATACTCTCGATCGAAAACGTTTTCCACGATTCGCCGTTATGCTTCTAATTGATCGAAAAAAAATCCCGGACGAAGGCGAACGAACGTTAATTGTCGATTAACGAATGAACTACGCAAGCCGGGAAACTCAATGATGTCTCTTAAACTTTTAAACTAAAACACATCGATCCGAGCATCAACGCTAAACCTGCCATTCCCGATTCATTTTGCAATGATAAAAAAGACAACAGATACTTCTCTGCGAAATTATTCAACAATGATTTAGCAATACTGGATTCTAAATCAATTAAAGTCTCGACTGATGCACTCTCGAAGTTGCAACAGAGGAATTTCAAAAAGTCAATGCAACTCGGTAGGTTTAGCGTCAAGAAAGGAATCATAAAAAGAAGCAACATTTCGATGGTGTCGCAAAACCAAGGATAAGGGATGAAAAATATACAGGGTGGATCGTGAAGAATCGTACCGTCTTCGACACTGAACAAAAACCGCTCAAACGCGAGCAAAAAGCGAAGAATTTTTAATTTTTTAATTTTTAATTTTAAAAATCGAAATTAACATTTCCAAATCTTTCTGTTGCAAATGAGAAACGAAAATATATAACTCTTGATATAACAAACATGAACTGAATTCCGATTTCGATCCGATTCCCGTCGGTCCACCCTGTGTATAGAAAATATAGAAGCTTCCAAGCGTAATTCGTATTGCATCGACACACGGAAGTTCATGAACAGCAATAATCAGTTATCAATTTATAATTCGATGTTTAACGGCACATTGAAACACACAGAGCAGGATTCGCATTCTCTGTTTTGCATCCATCCACTGCCAAATTATCTGCACGACCGTAGGATAATCGAAATCTTGTGGTCGACGAACCGCATCGGTCGGATTTCGTTTATCCGTTTTAGACTGCGTCTTCATCGAGATTCTCAGGTTTTGTATTTACTGTTTTCTCTTCCTCTCTCTCTTTCTCTCTTTCACTCATTCATACAGTTCCTTCTTTTCTTCAGCTTCTCCGCTCTCTTTCTCTCTCACTTTCTCTCTCTCTCGCTCCCTCTCCTTCTCTTCTTTTATCTACCTTTGTATCTCTCATTCGCTGAATTTAATCCGTGAATGAACGCATCGACAAACAGCTCCGATTGAAACAACGTAATCTGATCGTAAAATATCAGATTTCGGCAGAGAGAAATGTGTTGGGTGTTTTTAGAACAGCGCCGGGGAAAGGCGAAATTTGCTGGCCGCGCCGAACGCGCCGGATTCTTGTCTTTTAATTACACTTCGTCACTTAGTCTCTCGAACGAACTATTTTAACAATGCGAGGTACGCTGGAGCGCGAAGCTCGTTGATTTACAGTTTAAATCGCTGCGAGAAGTATCTCAGCAACGCGAAGCATTAATACGTCTGCATGGGAAACTGCCGAATTATAAATTCTCCGTTTACTGTAATTCGATTCGATCTGATTCGATGATTTCATTTCATACAAACTATTTGGTTTTATTTGGTTTAATTCACTCGAAGATTGAATTTTTTAAAATTATGCTTCCTGCGAGGCACATTAAATAAAATATTATCTAAAAAAATTATCTCATAGATAATTTACATTTAATTGAAACGTCGAGTAATTTATATTTGAAATATGCTCACAATTTTGTCGTCGCTATTTTAAAAACACCCTGTATAGATACGTACGTGCGCTGACTCGTGCGATCTCGGTAAAGGATATTCTATTTTGTGTGAAACATTGTAACAAATTCTTATTAATTACACCACGACGATTATCAGTAATTATCCAACCGCGAGCAATCGCAACTTTCCGCGTTTTCTTCGAGAAACGATGGACAAGAATCTCGTAATTCGAAAGTAACTTTTCAACTTTCACCGGTGAATGAAAGATCAGTTTTACACTGTTCAGAAATTCGGTGCCTCGCAAAGTCAATTCGAGATATTAACTTGATTTACCGAGATCAAACGAGCCTGCCGCTTTCCGCACGAGCAGAAGAATTGGATGTATTTTCAAGACCTAACGAGGGAGCGTTCAGAACTGAATGATCGCTGTCGCGCTCGATAGCTTCTCTACTGTTCGAACGAGCGAAATAAATGTTACTGCGAAACTTTGACCTTCGTCGAGACTATTAAACATATTTGGAGAAATCCAGACTGCTGTCAACATGACAATTTCTCTCTGGACTTTCTCTATCGGAATATCCTAACGTAAATCCTACATAAATAAATAAATAAATTCTAAATAAGAATAAATTATTAATTTACTATAATAAATTATTAATTATTAATTTATATCTTCTTATATCCTATAAGAACTTATAGAACGAATTATAGAATATACAAGTAAAGAACTAAGTTAATCAGTTAATCAAGTCAACGATAAAATCTAACAATGCAAGTGGCCGTAATCAGGAGACATCAATCGGTACCGATAAAACTCGACATCGATCGGAATAATAATAATTGCAATCCATTTTTAGTGTCTCGAAAAATGTCTACAATTACCAGTCGATTGACTTTCTGGACTCGAGTTACAATCGTTACACAGAGCCCACGCCGACGCGAGCGTCGTTAGCCGAACGCCACTGTCAGCGAGCAAATATTAGCCTTCGACGTTTGCAGAAAATCGATTCGAGAAAATGTTAGTTATCATGCGACGTCAGCACCTAATTAATGTTTACTAATACTTGCGGGGGCAGACTGTTTGGTAATTATAAACATGTCAAGCGGCGGCGATGATCTAATTTCACGTGACGCTGCAATGGTCGTTTTGATCGACGATGCACCAGGGAGACTATCAAAACGAACGATTGCAACTTTATTAACAAACCAAAGTCGGCATCGTGTATATGAGGAATTAAGAAGATATTTTAATCTGTCTCTTTTAACCTGTAATAGGAATTTACTTTCAACGAATGGTACGATAGAAAATATTCGAATATCTTTCACTGTTTGGAACGTGTACGAGAAGATACGTTTTCCAGAAAATTTCGAAAAGTGAAAGGCAAAGAAATTCTCGAATTTACGTAAGTCCTGAATATTAGTTAACCCTTTGCACTCGAGAATATTTTTCTCAAGAAATATTCATTATTTTCTGATAAGATATCAATGGTACTTTTTACAACTGACATAAAGAAATACCTTGTATAAATTAAGCGACAAAACTATTTTTATATACTATATAAAATTCAATATTGGATCTGAAATTTTATCATTTTGTTGGGTCGAATCCAGTGGCGACTGAGAGTCACCTCCCGAGTGCAAAGGGTTAATAGAGAATTTAAAAAAGATGCTTATACGAGTCGCTCAGAAGCCATAGTTACCATTTCTGGATATTTCGTTTCCCCTAAATTTCAGCGCAGTAAATAATATTCTCTCAGTTATTAAAGAATTTCGTCTTTATTCTAAATCAGAGAGCTCCTCTATCTTCCGAACATCTTAATCATTCCAGAAGCGAAAACACTAATTCCCTCAATTCCTCTTTACACCCAACCGCATTGGCTTCCGAGCTCGCTGCGTCATAAAGAAAATCCAATCAAGAAAATCAACCTTCCGCGTACATCTCCAAACACATCCTACATAATAAAATCCACCAAACACAAACATCCTCCGCTGTTTCCAAGGCGTCCGGCTACCGATTCGAAGCGGACGTTCCCCATTTCCCGGAGATATAAAATCAACTCCAGCATTCCGCTCGGAAGCAGGAGCACCCGCGATTTCGCATCGAAGCGGAACGAAGAACCCGGGCAAAGGTTCGCAGTAACGTTTAATTCGAGTCGTAGAAACGGGAAGAGCTCCGCGGGGAGCCGAGGCGATCGTGTTCCGAACGCGTCCGCGGTAACACAATGAAACAGAAAAGTTCCCGGATCGCCGACTGGAAGCGATTCCAATGCTAACGGCAAGAACGTAAATCGCAATGGTCGGCGTCGATTAAGACCGCCGACGAACATCGTAAAGCAACTAGGAACATCAACAATCAACGGCTAGTAGCTACCGGCCACTGAACTTTGTCAAAACGATCGTGATGCGATGAGCTTACCTTTCCCAGTGGCGTCGACGGCTGGCCGGCCGGCGCGGGGTCCTTCAGATAGATCTTCCACGTCGCCACGCTGTTGAACGATTTGTCCGCCGCGTAACACCTCCACAGGCACTGTATCAACATGGCGGCCGCCGGGATTTGTCGGTTGAAGTGCTTCTGCCGTTGCTTCTGCTGGACTTTCAGCGCGAAACCGGAGCCCAGTATACCCTGAAACGAGAAACTGGCTGTTCCCTTATGGCAGCTTAAGGGGGCCCATCAGCCTGCTAGCTCAAGCGAATGTCAGTACTTTTTTTATGGGTTCGCGGGATGGTAATTGTTTTCGTACTGTGGGTTATGTTTATTGTTTTCTATGGATTGCGTTTTGTGGAGGTTTTTATGTGTTCGATTGGAAAGTGGGCTTGAGGAATGGATGGCGAGATGTGTTTTGAGAAGGGAACTGTATTTTGGATTGATATTTGATATTAGAAGTACTGTATTAGACGAACTGAGTGGTTTTGATTTTCTTTCGCGATTATCAATGTTTTGAGAGCTTTGGTTAGATCTTTATCAGGCTTTGATTAGCTAGGTGTTATTGATGTTTAAAAGCTTTCGATATTCGAAATGATCTTGAAGGAATTTTCACTTGAATATTGTAATGAATGTCTGAAGAAACTGAGAACGATTTATTGTTGCAATTTCTATAGAGATTAGACATTAATCGCATTAAATGCTAGTTCTAGTGTTAAGAAGTTGTGTGAAAATCCAAGTTTTTTGATAAGAGTAATTTTATGTTACGAAGAAGACAAATTTCAGCTGTCTTTTGCGATCGCCGGCGATTTAACGAAAGTCGACGTTAGTCACCCATTAGAATCGACGATAAGAGGATCATACTTACGGCTGGAAGTGCGAAAAAAGATATGGCGAATACGCTGAAACACGAGGCGACTATTTTCCCCATCCATGTCTGTGGGACAGTGTCACCGTAGCCGATAGTGGTCACGGTAATCTATGAACGAAACAATGCAGAATTAACGCAACCTTCTTTCGCAACCAATTTGCTTGTATCTCGACTTACACGTTCCACATCAACATCAAGGACAACACTTATCAACATCCAGATGTCTGTCCTTTCTCACAAAATTGTCGAAGGACAGACATCGAGGATTCAACGGAAAAGGAGGTTAGACACGATAAACATGTAACGAGCAATGCGTTCTGTGAGATGCAGGCCATATTGGGTTGAACAGGAGATTTTGTCGGTAAAAATTTACAAAATTTGAACATTTCGACGTTTCCGGGTTCTACTTCCCTCGTTAGATTGAGAAACAATTGATGTCTTGTTAACACGTTCCGTCCCACGTGTACCATTTGTGGTACACGCCCAATTTTTCTGAGGAAATATGTAGCAAAGGGCAGCGGTACACGTTGCAAATCAGCGAAAACATGAAGAAATAATATAAAAATATATATAAAAGTTACCAAAAACTTGAATGTGTCTTAATATTTCATTTGGAAAATCAATGCGCTCGTAAGCAAGATATAATCGAAATTTCCGGTGGCACGGAATGTGTTAAACAAATTTCTCCTTAAGTTCACCGACTGAACTTCCTGTTCAACCTAATAACAATGATGCTTCCAGCTAAAAAAAAACAAGTTGAAAATATAGCATAAATCGTTTGTAGTTGTCAAGGGAATGTATACAGCGAACAACGAAAGTAATCGAATGATCGAAGATTACTGCGAATTGCTGATGCTTAAAACGATCATTCACGAAGATTTGTTTGAAGTGTACGTCCTTATTGCACTAAACATCCGAATTCAATGTTGCCTAAGATTGACGGGCGTTCATCGTTTTCTCGAACGAGCGAGAACAGTTCCACGTTCGCCAAATATTTACACGCGAGCTCCCTAACGAGAGTTTTTCGGGTAATTTCTCGACGAGCAGCACTCGACGAAAGTCTGATTACCGCTCGACGAAGCGCTCTTTTTTCTTGAACGACGTCCGACGAGGTCGGCTGTCACGAACGAACGTTAAACACGCCATTCGAGTGGCGAAATTCTGTTGTCCAATGATATTTGGCTCTAATAGGCTCGACAAAATTGCCGATAGCACTCTACAAGCGACAACGGTACACCGAAACGAGATTTTTCAATCGCCGACGGTAGCCAAGGCGCGAAACAACGCACGGATAGACACGAATACACACGCAAAACCGTGAAACAAAAGCCAACAGCAAAATGCGGCCGAGATTCGAGCGAATCCCGGAATTCACTGCGGCGCGATCTCTTAATCCGGCGAGATTCGTCGATGTAACCGAGTAATCAACGGGCGCGTACCAACGGGCCGGCAAGCGGAGTCTAATTAAAATTGAAATTTAAAGTAAATGGACCGGCCGTCCGCGGGACATCCGATAACCGAACGGGAGCGTCCGAGTTCGAGGAAGTTCTTTTTTCAGCCGCTAAGAAAGCAAAAGTGTCGACGGGAAATGGCCGAGTGGCCGGCGTTAATCGATCCGCGCGCACTCGAATCCTTATTTATTCGGGCACCGTTCGAATCGATCCCGTTCGGTTGACCGTCCGAGGGATTCTAAATAGCTGCATATTTTCCGAGTGATTAGCGTGCGCCGCTTAATAAACATTGCCGGCCGGCCGTACAATTAAGCTGTACACGTCGCTGAATGAAACCCATTCCGCGGTAATGAGCGAAATCGCTGGGTCGAATTAATTATTCGCGTTAATAGAAACCGAACGGACCGAACCGCTTATTACATCGACGCGAATATGCCGGTTATTTAGCGCGAGGAGCCTTTCGCGCCTCCGCGGAAAAATGCTCCGTTGGGAGCAGTGGTTCTCAACCGCCGAACGGGAATTCTTGTTTCGCGCTTCGAATGGGAAGACTTGCGAGAACGGGTACAAAGGAAATGAAATTAATAGCTTGCATTGTAGAAGCTTTCTATTAGAAATAGTCAATATTTTTTGATCGTCATTGTGAAGGAAATTGTAGTATTACAGGTTGAATTGAATTTCATTATGGAAATGAGAAAATTATTTTGGTTACGATATGGCAGATTTGTAAAATAACGTACGGAATTAATCATCGAGGGGAGCACGTCATTTCCACTGAGGGGTTAACGAGAAATCGCGTACACATTGAGGAAGGAAATGATTTTGTTTCGATATTATTCCTATTGCTGCATTATGCAAAGTCTGATATTAGACATTGAACTTCATGATTTCGCGGTGAATTAAGTGACTGAGAGGCGACTCTAGTGCAAAGGTTTGTGTGCAGAGTATGAACTGTTCACAGAAATTGTTGAATTTGCTTTGTGACTGGCCTCAAGTTTCAATTAGAACACTTGGTATTAAATGCAAGAATGGTTGATCGAGTGGACAAAATTTCATTCTTAATGTGTGCTGCGAATTTGAGAAAGCATGGTGGTATTTCTAAGTTTGAAATAATAGAAACAAGTCGAAAGGAAATTTTCGATTATATATAGAAAATAAATTTGTCTATCAGTGATTCAAGTCATACAGTTAACTCTATTCTCAATTCTTAATCGTGTGAACCTATCAAGACACGTTTCGAATCGAAGAATTAAGTGGCAATCACTCGATGGTAGGTTCGCCTTGAAGGCAGCTTGCATGCGAGGCATCTGATTCAATTAGACGCCTCGTCGCGACGTTAGGTCGTGCAATATCGTACAAAATCGCGATCTTTGACGGCAGCATTCCTCGCCTTTCCTTCGCATGCCGTGCGTTTCATTGCAATTGTGCATATAAGAAAGATTCTAACTGAAGGCGAGACGCGAATCAAGTAGCTGGCGAAAGATTTCTCTGTCGAGGAAAAAATCAACGCAGCGAAGCTGAAGATACGAGTTCAATGACGACCGGCTCTGAAATGTCATTTCGAATATTACCAAAGGATTCGTTCCATTACATTGTATATATTACTTCGAGAATAAAATATCTCACTTATCGAAAAATACTCGAAATATCCTCGATTTTGAAGTTTCAATTTTACTCACAGTCGAATCTTTATTTAAATTTTTTTAAAGACAGTTCTCGTATGGAGTGCTGAACATCGAATATTTGAAATAACATCTCTTTTAGAATTTTCCGCAATTCTACCGAGTGAAACAGTTTCTTCGAAAAATACTCGAAATATCCTCGATTTTGAAGTTTCAATTTTACTCACAGTTGAATCTTTATTTAAATTTTTTAAAGACAGTTCTCGTTTGAAGTATTGAACGTCGAATATTTTTAAATAACACCTTTTCTAGAATTTCACCTAATTCTACCGAGTGAGATAGTATATTCGCCCGAGATGCAGAGTCTCCGTTTACGGACTACTTTTCGTGTGACGATAAGTGTCATCGAGTATCGAACGTACTTGAAATCGCTAGGCAAAGTATCGAGCGAAGTGCTGACGGTGATAGAAACACGCAAAGTGATCGGAGTGCGATGAGAAAGAATAAGGCACAGCGTAATTAAATGAAGTGACAACAAACACAGATGTCGAAATAATTATATTTACCACCCCCCACCACAGTGCATCCGCGTAACTGGAAAAGTCTGTTTTTCCATCGGGCCCAACAGCATCTTTTTCGGCAAGATACACGAAGTAACTGCTGAAAATAAGACCTAGGAACCCGATGTACAATGTCGTGATCAGCTCCTGAAAGTTTTGATCAAGACGCTTTAATAGAACCACCATCATCGCCATCGTTCGACGTTGATGTTTTCTTTCTGTTAGAGAAACTATTTCAGTAAATAATTTCCCTACAGTCGTTACTCTTAAAAACCTCGAGCTTAACTTAAAAACTCGATTTTACAGATGCCGAGATTGAGATCACTTTGAGTTTACATTTAACACTAAAACTACCGAGTTCAATTGCTTTGAAATTCCTCCATAGAAACTCTAAGAATCTACTTCAGTTATTCTGCAATTCTTGAATAATTTCTTGAATAATTTCTCAAAGAAACATTTGTTATCTTAATAATTGGAAAAAGAATACATCAGGGTCATTTTGATCTCCGATAGTTTTAGTGTTAACCCCTTGTCTCACGATTTATTTCGTCTCACGTGTTTATGCTCATACTGTTTTTTTGTCAAATTTCTGAATAGAATTATTTATAAAAAGAACACTGAAGTATTACAGGTTCGATTGGATTTCTTAGGGAAATAAAAGAATCGTTTTGGTTACGATAGGGTAGGTTTAATGAGATAAATTAGGGCGATCGCGAGTGAGACTCGTTTTCGTTCAAGGGGTTAATGATATTCCAGTTTTGTAATATGCTTAGGGTATCTCTCGAGTCGAATGAAACGTTACTGGATCATTTCTGAACGTACCTGACGGTGAATGAAAACAACAGAACCGAGAAGTCGCCACGTACCACCTTGCCGATCGACGTGAAGCATCCGCAGTATTTGCAAAAACCGGATGCCCCTTATGGCGGAAGTGGCGAACACTTGACCGTTGCTTCCCACTGACAAGACCACCATAGATGCGACCACCACAATTAAATCTGATAATAAACAAAGCAATTATTCAGATCAGAATCGTTCTAGACTTCTGACATGCCCACCTTACTCCGCGTACAGAATTACTTAATTGTTAATTAGTCGTCGTGTTCGCAAATAAGGAATTTTATATATTCGGTGATGGATTGAAAAATTGAATGAAAATATTCATGGATGCATACGCGAGAGAAATGGTATTTAAGCATGCGTCTATTAAAATGTTCAATGTCAAAGCAAATTCAAATTCAAATTCAAATTCAAATTCAAATTCATATAAAAAATAAATACCCAAATACAAATAAAAATACAAACACAACTTCAAATATAAATCCACTTCTACTTCATAATTCCTATTTCCCATTCTCTATTCGTTACTTCGAATTTTCGACTGTCAACTTCCTACTTTCTACATTCTATTTCCTACGTCCTACTTTCTACGTTACATTTCCAATTTTCTACTTTCTATTCTTTACTTCCCAATACACTCTATGTCCAACATACTTGCTATTCTCCGATTCCCATTTCCAATCGTCTATCTTCTATTTCCTACGTTTTATCCTGAATTCACTTTGCACACGTGGCATCACCTGTCAGAGGACACCGCGACCGGCCGTGTCCATAATTTTCGTTAACACCGTGTATAGATTCGGCCCGACGTATCAGTGTCCGATGACGTTTTACCGCGTTATTGTTCCGCGAAGTTGAATATTCCATGGCAATCGAGCGCGCGTAATTGACCCTACCGATAAGCACGCGATGCCCGATTCGATTAACGTCCGGATACGTGTTACAATTTACCCGCTCGGCGAAGTTCGTTTTAATCGCGAATCACGCTGCGCGACGCGCGCCCGCCGCGCCTCGGACCGCCGAGCGACCCGTCGCTTCCGATGAAACGACGCTTAACACTTTGCGGACGAACGTCGACATTTGCGAGATGAAATGTTCGGATATGGAAGATTCAGTTGCAAACGAATGATTCAGTTACTTGAACAGCAGGAGATCGGTATATAGTTTCTTTTCTGTCTAATTGCTTAAGCGATCGATGTATCATTTATCTTCGTCTGCTGAGGATTCTGTATATTTCAAAGATTCTTCGTCCGCAAATATTATAAATTTAAGTCGGCGATCAACGATTGGAACTAATTGAGACACTCCGAATTGAGACTAATCACGAAATGAGAAGTCAATGAGACACTGAAGAATGCAAAGCGTAAGTATCGAGCAGCGATCGAATCGCTTTTACCGCACGAAGTGAATATCCTCCAGATCCAATTTTGGGACACGACAATTGCACAATGCGCATATTGGATTAGTTCGAGCACAGACACTGATTGAACTGGTCCGGATGTACATTAGAGAACGCACTTACCTATGATACAAATCGGTTTCCGTATGAATCGCAGCCTGCCGCAGCAGCCCATGTACTTTGATCTGCAGCCTGCGCTCCATAACCGCACTAGGTACTCCACCCCGAAGAATACCACCAAACATATTTCCTGAAAGTAAACGGGGAAATACGTACCTTTCAGTATCGTAATAACAGTACCGTGATAATAGGATTGTGATGGTTGTAGTATCGTGGTAATAGTATTATAATAATAGTACCGTAATATTAGTATTATTATAACAAATGGTATCATAATGATAAGTATCGTGATTATAGTATAGTAATAACATTAGTATCATAATAAATGGCATCATAATGATAGTATCGTAATAACAGTAGTATCATAATACATGGCATCATAATGATAGTATCATAACAATATTAGTATTATAAAAAATAGTATCATAACGACAGTATCCAATTTTCTCATAAATGCACAAAATCCGCAGTTCAATCAGAATATACACTTAATATTTTGACTTATAGTATATTTCAAGCATATCCTTGCAATTTTCAAAATAAAGACAATTAAAACATAATTATATTTCAACGCGATAGATTAAAACGAATGGTCGATAATCTTAAATCCTGTTAATCCTAAATACCGAATAACCAAAACACCTTGCTTACAGTCACGACAGTAGCGTAATCGATCCTTAAAATCGAAACGCTATCGTGCACAGAGAAATCTCGAATGGCAATGGTGGGAAATAACATCAGCGCGTAAAGGGAAATCGACTCGGCGCGGCGTGCTTTTAAAAACGCGATGTCCGTAACGCGA